GGCTTGGGAGACGTTGGACCTTTCAACAGGACAATGATCCCAAGCATACCTCCAAGTCCACTAGAGCATGGTTGCAGAGGAAAGGCTGGAACATTTTGGAGTGGCCATCGCAGTCACCAGACTTAAATCCGATTGAGAACCTCTGGTGGGACTTAAAGAAAGCAGTTGCAGTGCGCAAGCCTAAGAATGTGACTGAACTGGAGGCCTTTGCCCATGAAGAATGGGCGAAGATACCCGTAGATCGCTGCCAAGACACTTGTGTCAAGCTATGCTTCACGTTTAAAAGCTGTTATAACTGTAAAAGGATGCTGTACTAAGTACTAAGATTGAATGTCACTTGGGGGTTGAATAAAACTGATAATGCTGTGAGCACAGAAAAGACATTTGTGGTTATTTCATTATAACTGTTATGTTATATTTGTCTGACCTACAAGTGCCTCTTTAATGTAAATGTAAGCAAGATGACTGAATGATCAAAAGCAATGTCAAACTGGCCAAAACACTCAATTTCAGTGGGGGTTGAATAATTTTGGCCACAACTGTAGATGAAAGGTTTATCTTAAAAGAATGTCTTTGACAACACAATGGCATGGAAAACATCAACATTCCCTGGTAAATACCACCATAGCGTGTATACAGCATAGATGTTATCCCCTTATGCTAGCGCAATGGTTTATTATTATTATTATTATTAATAATAATAATAGTAATAATATCCATGTATCTTTTATTTTTATTTGTATTAATTTTTTGTACTATTGTGTATCCAACACTTAATTCATAAATAATAAATAATTTTTTTTAAGTTTTTGTATAAATGCACACTATTACCATATTTTATATAGATTTTTATATAGATTCTTTGTATCTAGTATAGCGATACTTGTGCATACATAGAGTGCTGTAGGACCTGGTTTTATATAAGTCACCTCCAGCTCCTGTTGCTTAAGTCTGATGAAGGAGCTTCTGCATATGCTCAGAAACTCGTTACTGCCCAATTTTGACGTCACTTCTGGCAAATACATTCCAAGCTGATGTCGGAAGTGCGGCTGCCATCTTGATCCTGCGTTCCACGGGTCCCCGCAGCCGCTGGTTGGCTGAACGGTTCCTTCCTGCACATCTACCACAAGTTGGGTACTCGTGATGAGCCTGTGTTATTTACTGTCCTGTAATTTTTTTTATCTTGTGTCCTAATAAACCACCATATTTTACTGTAGTTAGAAGCACCTTCTCCTTGTGTTCCTTCCATTATCAGAGTCTGCTTCCACTCACTGAAGAGCTGCTCTAGTGCTCCCTTGGCTCCAGCCAGTATATTACTTCTCCTCATCCTCTGGATGGCCAAGAGTCTTAACATCTAAGAGGTCTGGTCCCAGCATGAGCGTCATATGGATGAATTATTTAGAGCGATGGTTTACATGAACTGATGAAATTAAACAGATGGAAGGCCTATCCTCCAATATTTAAGGGTATGGAATGAATCAGTTGCTGGAAGTGGTTCTTCTGGAATTTACATATTGGGAGGAATACAGTGACACTCTGATTTCAGGTAAAAAAGGAACCATTGACTGCATTTTTTACGATGAGTCTGAGCTTTGATGTAGAATGTGATACAACAAGCCAGGAAGTCAATCCACATATTCTGAATATAACTTCTTCCTCTCACCTGAGTCACTCCATCCTTCCCTACCTTCCCATTTTGAGCTAGTAGTAAAACCCTTGACCATGACTACCAAGTTTCATTAGACTCATTGAAATTTAGTTTATAGTTATATACTTAACCATGTCCAGTCTGGGCCAATTCTGACATTCCTCTCCTACATGTAAAAAACATAATTTTATTGCTAGAAAACTACTTAGAGCCCCAAACATTATATACATATGTGTAAGGAAATATGTTTTATTAACTGGCATCCATTTTGTATAATGCCTCCATTTCTAGATGTGTGAACAGTTAGTTTCGGTTTTGTAACTTCTCTCGTTTTCTTAGACTAGTTTCATTTCTGTAAACGGAACTACCTTATATGGTGTCCCTCAACTATCTGCAGTTTCTGTTCTTCACGTAACTATATTGATAAGAATGGAATGTTTCATTGGTCATCCTGAGATTAAACAACGCCTACTGAGTTCTGTATAACTGTTCTTGTTTTGCATTAAACGCTCAGGGATTTAGCTTGCACTCTTCGGTGTCTGGAGCTTTATTTCTTCCAGGCCTGAGGGTGAAAATAACGAGGACAGGGGCTACAGACATAGGTTGAATCCTTGCACATATGTATATTAAGCAGTGGGTGTAGAGTTAAGGTGGGTTTTGCAATTTTTTTTCATGTCGTACAGTATTTGTAGAGTGTTTTCTTTAAAACACAATTTTTTGGGAATAAACACTTTAACCTCCCTGGCGGTATTCCCGAGTGTAGCTCGGGGTAACATTTCAGTACCAAAAGCGGTAACCCCGAGCTACACTCGGGAATACCATGCGGCGCTGCTCCGGCATGTGTTCTTCACTTACCTTACCCTGCGCTCCCACGATGTGTCCCCTGCAGCGTCCCCGGCCATCTCCTCCGGCCGATGCCGGCATCCGGCTTCTGTGTCCTGTCCCTGTGACGTCGGGACGCACGGGGGCGCCGCCGCCGGCGGCGGCGGGAAATTTAAAAATTTTAAAAAATGTCATTTTTTTTTTTTACATAGTAAAACATTGCTGTCTCAACCAATTTCACATACATATTGTCCCTAGTGCTTTGTCCGGCGCCCTGCCTGCATTTTGTCTGTTCTTTCTGCCTGGAAACTGAGAAATGTCCATGGCGTCCAAAAAGCGTCCCTTTAGGTCAAAAGCGGTTTAGATCAGCTAGAGAACAGCGATAGTAAATCAGAACCACTTGCAGAATTGAGTGATAATGATTCGTGGGGGAAATTCGTCATCAGACACTGAAAACGATTTTGCGACTGAGCTCAGCAATGTGCCAACTTGGCGCTATATTTCAAATTTCAGTGTTTTTGGTTTGATTATATTATTGAATTACATTTTTTATTATTTTTATATTATTTTTATGATTATTTATTAAATTATAATTTATGATTTTGTGTTTCAAATTTTATCATCCCCGGGATGTTTAATAGACTCTTGTTCGGACAGATTTCAGTGAGTTTTTCCTAAAAATTACAGCCTACAATAAAAAAAATACATATTTCCATGCAAAAAAATGGTACCGCTTTCAGCACCAAAAATCTGAAATAATCATACCGCCAGGGAGGTTAATGAATTTTAATGCACAAAAACACAACATAATGCCCAATTTTTTGTTACAATATAAAAGATGATGTTAAGTCGAGTAAATAGATACCTAACACGTCACTTTAAAATTGCGTATGGTCGTTGAATGACACCAAACTATGGTACTTAAAAATCTACATAAAAGCTTTTACAGGTTCCCAGTTTAGAATTACAGGTCTGGTGGTAGAATATATATGTGATTTTGCATGTCCGGGTAGGGGGCACGAGATCCACGTAAGCACGCCTTACCCACGCCGCCGATCGCGGCCCCAGGTGTCAATCACCGGGTCCCGGCCGGTGATTACCCGCCAGCGCACAGTGATTGCTGAGGATCACTGAGAGGGAGGAGGGCTGGTTTGTTTACCAACAGTTCTCCTCTCTGTCAGTTTGGGCACACTGCTCTGGATGCCAGAGCCATCCAGAGCAGTGTGCTTTACAGTGAAGCACGCATCCCCCGCCCCCCAGTAAAACACTCACAGCACACAGTTAACCCTTTGATGACCCCTCATTGTTAACCCCTTCCTGCCCAGTGCCATTAGTACAGTGTCAGTGCTTATTTTTAGCACTGATCACTGTATTGGTGTCACTGGGGATGTCAGTGACACCAAGTCAGTTCCCCCAGTGTCAGAATGTCCACCGCAGTCCCGCTATAAGTCGCTGATTGTGGCCATTATTAGTAGAAAAAAAAAAAATTCCAGTATCTATATCGCCATTTGTAAACACTATAACTTTCATGTAAACCAATTAATGTACACGTATTGGGATTTTTTTTTAGCAAAGATATGTCGCAGAATACATTTTGGCCTAAATTTAGACAAAATTTGATTTTTAAAAATTTTTTTTACTGGACATGTTTACTGGAATGCTGCCAATCTTCTCTATAGTCTAAGAAATCAGAAGCTACGAGCATTTAATCACTTCAGTTTCGCAGGATATAAACAGCGCCATTTTGTAAATTGGGAAAGCATCTGATCACACCGATCTTGGTGAGATTAGATAATGTAAGAGAAGAGGATATATGTAGACTCTGATAGACCCCAGATAAAAAAAAAAAAGAATATATGACAATGCCCAATGAAGTTACAGGGGTTATTTGCATTCCCTGTGATAGCATTTAAAGTGATAAAAAAAAAAATTAAAGGGACAGTGTAAAAATATTTTTAAAAAATCAAAATAACAGAAAAAAAAGCTGATTTTTTAACATATAAAAAAGTATTTTTAACATATATTTTTACATATATTTGTAAATGCATTCCAAAAATGTAGATTTGTATTTTTAAAGACATACAGTATATTTGAATGTGAATATGTATTTTTAAAAATATTTTTCATATATTTTTGTAATAAAAACGCATTTCAACATGCAGTATGTATATATATATATATATATATATATATATATATATATATGTTTATTGAAATATATTGAATATCGCCAAAATAGTAGTATATCAAATGTATGGCAATATATTTGGGAAGAATATTTAAAAAAAATATTTCAAATATATTTTTCTTCCATGTGACTGCGGGCCCTAATAATCATGGTCCATGTATTTTAGATAATAAAAAATAATAAATAATAAATGATCGCAGTAATATTGGTAATTTATGTAATATAGTTATAACCTGCACCAGAGGTGGGGGAATATGAAGGGTACGGCGAGCTAGCCAAATATATATACCGTATTTTTCGCTCCATAAGACGCACTTTTTTTCCCCCCAAAAAAGGGGGGAAAATGTCAGTGCATCTTATGGAGCGGCCGGTCCGGTATTTCCACCGCTGCCGTGTCAGAATACCGGGCCGGCCGCTCAGCTCTGTAGCGGGACCTTACCTGTTCCTCTATCCAGCGGCGCGCTGTCTTCACGGCTTCTGTAGTGTGGGCGCTGGGCTTGGCTGGATAGAGGAACAGGTAAGGTCAAAGAACAACTCCGAGGAAGTTGTCAAATTCAGGTACCCGCTCCCCCCCCTCCCCAAAGGTCAGCAGTCTCTGGTCATCCCCTGTACTATGTCCACAGTCTCTGGTCATCTCCTGTACTGTGTCCGCAGTCTCTGGTCATCTCCTGTACTGTGTCCGCAGTCTCTGGTCATCTCCTGTACTGTGTCCGTAGTCTCTGGTCATCTCCTGTACTGTGTCCGCAGTCTCTGGTCATCTCCTGTACTGTGTCCGCAGTCTCTGGTCATCTCCTGTACTATGTCCGCAGTCTCTGGTCATCTCCTGTACTATGTCCGCAGTCTCTGGTCATCTCCTGTACTATGTCTGCAGTCCATTAGATCAGAATATTTTTTTTCCTGTTTTCAGCCTCTAAAACCTAGGTGCGTCTTATGGTCAGGTGCGTCTTATGGAGCAAAAAATATGGTATAAATATCTATCTATATATCTATATATATATATATATATATATATATATATATATATAACATGTATGGACATAAGGAAGGGAGAGAACATATGAATGTAAATAAGAGTTGCCCGTTGTGGGTTTGCTGTAGATGGAGAAGATGGTATTGGCATTATGGCAAAGTTCCAGATCGAAAAATGCTAATTTGTCTGGATCACAAACTGATGTAAAAGACATGTGATTGTTGTTGCAGTGTTGAACAAAGGCTGCAACTTGTGTGATGGAGCCATCCCAAATTATAATAATGTTATCTATATAGCGCCCACAAAAAATTAGATGACTGGAAAAAGGGTTATACTGTTGTTCCCAATGGGAACATGCCAACACCATCTTCTCCCAAAACTACAACAAACCCACAACGGGCAACTCTTATTTATATTATAAGAGTTGCCACCATCCCCGTTGGGTAAACAACATTCCTAAAAGTCAATTCTGCCACCTCAAACATAACTGTACCAGGGAACAAGATTATATCACTTATAGCCAGCTTCTTAAAGACAAATGGTTACCCCAGTACTGTAGTTGAGGACACCTTTTCCTTTTACTTAACACATGAGCCAACCACTAAGAACATCTCATCTATCCAGGAACCAGCTCCCTTAGGGTTCACAACACAGTTTCACAATCAATTTCGCAAAATGTAACAAATATTTCAGAAACATTGGCCCATATTACAGGAAGATCCACATTTAACATCCGTCATAACAGCTAAACCCAAAGTGTCCTATAGGTGAGCCAAGAACATAAAAACCAAAATAGCACCAAGTAAAATCAAATGCCCTCCCACCACAGCCCATGCTCCCATCACCTTTCTCAATATTAAGGGCATGTATCAATGCCGAAAACCCAGGTGCTTAACTTGGAAAGACGTCACCCATGACCAGAAAGAATTTTATGTCAAGTGAAACAATACTTCATACCTGACTTCTTCAACTGTTCTACTCAATTCATAGTATACTGCCTTACCTGCCCATGCGGCCTACTTTATGTTGGATGCACCATCCGCACTCTCCGAAAAAGATTCAGCGAACACAAGCGGTTGGTAGAGGATGGTTCGGATCTATATAGTGTACCTCAACATTTCCTCAAGAATCATGATAAATCCTCTGAAGGCCTAAAGGTGTGGATTATTGAGCTCATACCTCCCAGCCTTTCTACTGCAGAACATTTTAAACATCTTTGTGAGAGGGAGACTTATTGGATCTATTCCTTAGGGACATTAGTTCCTGGGGGTTTACACGATGAACTAGAAATCAGCACCATTATATAACTTTTATAAAAATATATATTACAATTTTTCTCAATTTTTTTTCTCAATTCCCTTCATTTTTCATATTTTCTGTTACTTCCTAATGTCCATACACATTTTATATATATATATATATATATATATATATATATATATATATATATATATACATACTGTAAATATAAAAAAAAGTCTATCTATCTATCTATCTATCTATCTATCTATCTATCTATCTATCCATTCAGTCCTATCCGACCCTTGGTGATTGCATGGACTGTCACTCCTAAGCGACTTTTTCTATGAATTCTCTTTGCAATTATTTTACAGGGTAGGTTGCCAGGTCTTTCCCCAACCCCTACCATGCAAGAGATCCCGCATGGCCAGCGATGAACCTAGGACAATTAACCTACTAGCATGTCTTTGGAGTGTGGGAGGAAACCGGAGTAACCGAAGGAAACTCACGCGGACACAGGGAGAACATGCATACTCCATGCAGGAGGCTCCATGGTTGGGAATTGAAACCATGACCCAATTACTGCAAGGCAGAAGTGCTAACCACTAAGCCACTGTGCCGCCCTATATACAGTATATATATATATATATATATACTGTATATACATATATATATATAAAATATATATATAAAAATATATATATATATATATATCTAGCACGCCGTACCCTTTATATTCCCCTGCCACTGGTATAGGTTATAACTATATTACATAATAAAGTACCCATATTACTGCGATCATTTATTATTTTTTTAACATCTAGAATACATGGACCATGATTATTAGGGCCTGCAGTTACCTATAAAATTTAAATATACAGTATTTTTTACTATACCTTTTTAGGTCTCGTTCTTTGGATTGAATACTATATTGCTCAATATACAGTATATTATATATATTTTTTATACAGTCCAGATATATTTTACATTGTTAAGATACTTTATTGTATTTTTTTATACCTCTCACTCTATTTTTGATACCTTCACTCCATTTGTATATTTCTTGCGCTTTATTATATTCTTTTATGAGCCACTTTGTTGGTTAACAATTTACGCCACTAGCATCTATCACCTGGGCCACAGCCGTATGCGGGAGGTGTCTCCTTAATCCTCCCCTTCACTAGAGGACAGGGGCAGACTGACCATTTGGAAACTCGGGCACTGCCCGAGGGCCTGGGTCAGTAGGGGGCCCCATGAGATGCCCCTGGTACCTTTTTCATAGGCTTTTTTTGAGTTTGGGCAAAGACACAGGGGCCCCATGATCCCCTATTGCCCGGGGGCCCCATGTGTTGTCAGTCCGCCCCTGCTAGAGGTATATTTGTGCTGGGTCAAAAATGGCTCCTTCACCGCCTTTTTGTTTTGTTAACAAAATGTCCAGCAATTCTGGTGAGTTTTTGCCCATCATCAGCTGGGGGATTGTTGCTTCACTTTTTGATGTAGGAATAAAAGAACTGGAAGCCTATATGAGGATATATCACTTTGGACTTTTTATATATAAAGGGTGTTACCACAATTGGATATTATGTTGTGATTTTGGGCATTAAAGTGTATTTTGTTCCCAAAAAAAGTGTGTTTGAAAAATCACTGCTCAAATAATACTGTGTTAAAAAAGATTTCACCTTTTTTAACAGAGTATTAGCTTTTGATTTATATTTTATATACAAGTAGAAGTGCCTATGCCTTTATGTTTGACATTAACATTTATCCAAAACGCTCATTTAAAATGCATCTAAATCAAAGGACAAAAGTGGAATATTTTTTTTTTGAGCAGAGGCCAGGCTCGGAGGACAGTGACTATAGCAGAGAAAGGCTCACGGAGAAACCAGCAGGATAAATACACGCACAGATTCCACTGGCAGGTGATGCCGGCTCCCCCCGGGACAAGGGGTCTAAGCACTAACCAGTCTCCACCAGAGCTCCTGATAGTGGAGATGGGTTTGGCTAGTGCCAGGCTGCAGTCCTCAGGATCACCCCACCAGGAGTTGAGCAAGTCAGCAGATGTGGCAGGTAGTCATGTGCAGAACGAGACAAAATCTCCTTACATTTCCTTTCAGATCAATTGGTTAAGTTACTAATTTCATTTCATTGCAATCATAACAAAATTTATTTATATTTGTTTAATTTTGTTTATTCATTTCCAACTGTATTTAGATTTTTCCAGTGGATTAGAATTCAAATAGAAAATGAAAATTTTGGAAGATGGCTATATTCTTTCTATTTTATTCTATACCATTTTTTTCTATTCTATTCTTTTTCTATTCTATTTTTTTCTATGCCATTCTATTCTGTTATGTTCTATTCTTCTCTGTTCTATTCCTTTCAAAATTTGAATTTCGAAAGACAGCTACGGTATATCCTTTATATTTTATTTTATTCTATTCTATTGTGTTGGAAATTCGAATTTCAAAAGATGGCTATATTCTTTGTATTCTATTTTAATGTTTTCTATTCTACTCTTTTTATTTTCTATTCTTTTCTATTTCTTTATTTTCTATTCTATTCTGTTTTATTCTATCCTATTCTTTTCGAAATTCGAATTTCGGAAGATGGCTATATTCTTTGTATTCGATTCTATTCTATTTTAAATTTTAATTTCAGAAGACGGCTATATTCTTTCTATTTGCTTCTATCATTTTTTAATCTATTCTATTCCTTTATTTTCTATTGTATTCTATTCCTTTATATTCTATTCTAGTATATTATTTTTTTTTTATAATAGTTATATTGTTTTCTATTCTACTCTTTTATTTTCTATTCTTTTCTATTTATTTTTTTCTATTCTATTCTGTTTTATTCTATCCTATTCTTTTTGAAATTTGAATTTCGGAAGATGGCTATATTCTTTGTATTCGATTCTATTCTATTTTAAATTTTAATTTCAGAAGACGACTATATTTTTTCTATTTGCTTCTATTATTTTTTAATCTATTCTATTCCTTTATTTTCTATTATATTCTATTCCTTTATATTCTATTTATATTCTTTTATTTTTTTTTTACAATAGTTTTATTGTTTTCTATTCTACTCTTTTATTTTTTCTATTCTATTCTATTTCTTTATTTTCTATTCTATTGTTTTATTCTTTCCTACTCTTTTTTCTAAATTCGAATTTCGGAAGATGGCTATATTCTTTGTATTTGATTCTATTCTATTTTAAATTTGAATTTCGGAAGACGGATATATTCTATTTAATTTTATTATTTACTAAGCTATTCTATTACTTTATTTTCTATTATATTCTTTCCTTTATATTATATTCTATTATATTCTTTTATTTTTTTTTACAATAGTTTTATTTTTTATATTCTACTCTTTTATTTTCTATTCTATTTCTTTATTTTCTATTCTGTTTTTATTCTATCCTATTCTTTTCGAAATTTGAATTTCAGAAGATAGCTATATTCTTTCTCTTTAATTTTTATTTTTTTCTAATGTATTCTGTTCCTTTATTTTTTATTATATTATATTCCTTTATATTCTTTTCTATTCTATTCTGTTTTATTTTATTCTTTTTTATTGTGTGTTTTTTTTATTCTATTCTATCTGTTCTATTCATTTTTTTTTAGATTCTATTCTATTCATTTTTGTTATTCTATACTGTGCTATTCTATTCTATTGTTTTCGAAATTACAATTTAGGAA